GTTCCTCAAGGTCCTACCATGTCAGACAGGTCGGTTGAAGAGCGGTAAGACTAAAAGCAACAAACCTAAGGTCCGAAGGCGAAGTCGTACTGTTGACTGTACAGAGGTGTGACAGCAGTAAGGTGTTTCCTTCAGACAACAAGCATGACAGCGATGCTGCCTTCCCACAAGGAGGGGTGGGGTTAGAAAAGATCGACCCTAAAAATGCACACCTCACCTTACCTCACGGATTTCCGTCTCCGGCGGTAAGGCTCTTTGAAGAACGGAGCTAACACGTCAAAAACCTTCCACGAAAAGGCCGTGCGCGACCGGCCTCAAGCAGTTGTCCCTTGGGCACTGCGGTCACGCTCTCAGGTCACTGAGACCACCTCTAATCCAATTTCCTTTTCAGGTACCTCCAGAAGAACCCTTCCACGGTGTGGGCAACCGGGAAGTGATAACCGCCCTCATACCTCTAACAGCACCCAAGACCACTGTATTCATAATCAACCTTCCTCTTCAATTCCTATTATTCCTCCTACATCGACTTTCAACCATAAACTTCCTCCTTCGGCTTCTTCCTCAAGTGTCACCATAGCCAACGATTCTAGTGCTCAAAACTCTGTCCCAGGTCTACTGAAACCTCGCTCCAAACTACACATTGGAGCTTTCAACGTACGCACTCTATGTCAATTCGGTCAGCAGGCTTCCTTGGCTAAAACCCTAGAGTCTCTTTCCATTGATGTATGCAGTGTCTCCGAAACACGCATACAGGATTCCAGTGTGGTCATTCACTTGACCTCACCTCGGCAAAACGGAGAGCCAACGAGATACACCCTATGTGTATCTGGTGACCCGATGGCCAGTTCTCGTGGACTGGCAGGTGTAGGCATAACACTAAGCATGAGGGCGGAACAAGCACTGCTAGAGTGGATCCCCGTCAACAGTCGTCTATGTGCTGTTCGGCTAAACGGCTCCGTAAGAACTCGGAAGGGTAGGGACACACGTCGTTGCCTTTTTATCGTTTCTGCCTACGCTCCCACTGACTGCAGCTCAGATGATGTGAAAGATGAATTTTACAGAAAGCTTTCTGAACTTCTTCAGAAAGCTGAACGCTCAGACATAGTACTCGTAGGGGGTGACTTTAATGCTCAGATAGGTAGCTTAAACCAAACAGAAAGGCATTTAGGTGGATATTTTAGCATTCCGGCACAGCGAACAGATAATGGTGACCGTCTGCTGCAACTGTGCTCAGACAATCGCTTATTTTTAGCAAACACAAATTTTAAGCATAAGGAGAGACATCGTCTAACATGGCGACCCCCTACACCAAACCAACGATGGACTCAAATAGACCATATTGCCATCAGTCATCGTTGGAGAGGGTCGGTAGAAGATTGTCGCTCATACTGGAGTACCTGCTTGGACTCCGACCACGCCCTAATACGGGCACGCATCTGCTTGCGCCTCACCGGACGCAAAAAAGCCACATTGAAAAGACCCATTAGAACTGAGTTGAGTAACGAGAAAACCAAAAATAGGTTCCAAGAACAACTGAGTTCACACTTAGGTAGTTCTGAAAACGAGGCTGACCCAGATGTTGCTTGGAAAGACATACAAGCAGCTGTGGAAGCAGCAGTGACATCTATTAGCAACTTAAACCACAGAGTTTCAAAGAACCAGTGGATTTCTTCAAAGTCTATCGCACTGATGGATTCTCGCAAACTCGTCCCATCAGGTTCCGAACATGATGAAGAGCGACAACAAATCAGATCTAGGTTAAGAAAAAGTCTAAGAAACGACCGTGAGCAGTGGTGGGCAACGAAAGCAAAAGAGATGGAAAAGGCAGCGTCTATAGGGAACACAAGACAGCTTTACAGACTAATAAAAGAAACTGGAACTAATAAGTCAAGTGTAAGTGAGATTATATCGGAAAAAGACGATACACTCATCTGCTCCCAGTCCAGGCGTTTAGAACGATGGGCGGAACACTTTAGGGAACAGTTCAGCTGGCCTTCAGCTACTCTACAACTACCCTCCATTCCGAGACAGCGTGAATGGAACATTGAAGTAGGTCCTCCAACTCTTGCTGAAGTTCAAAAGGCTATAGATAATCTGAAACGAGGAAGGGCAGATGGACTGGCTCCAGAAGTCTTTAAGGATGGTGGTCCAATTTTAGCGATTAGGTTGACTAATATTTTAGCTAAGATCTGGGAGTTAGACGTTATTCCATCTGACTGGTCACAATCACTTATCGTCCCAATATATAAGAAAGGGTCAAAATCATCCTGTGACAACCACAGAGGGATTAGTTTAACTAATATAATATCTAAAATACTAGCCTCAATAATAATCAGACGCCTAACTAAGACTCGTGAACTGCAAACACGAGAGAATCAAGCTGGCTTCAGACCTGGTCGTGGCTGCATCGACCACATATTCACCATTCGTCAGGTTCTAGAACACAGGCATACTTATCGGCGTCCGACAATGGTGGTCTTTCTTGACTTAAAAGCAGCATTTGACTCGGTAGACCGCGAGATTCTGTGGCAGTGTCTGTCATTGAAAGGCGTACCCCAGAAGTACATAAACCTTGTAAAGGCTCTTTACTCGAACACTACTAGTCGAGTGAGAGCTTATGGCGAACTGTCATCTACTTTTGCAACCTCAAGTGGTGTCCGTCAAGGATGTCCACTTTCCCCATTTTTGTTTAACTTCATCATAGATCTACTGATGGAAATAACTTTCTCGTCGACTGAGTTCTCGGGTATTGATCTTTATCCAGGAAGTCCGCTTATCGACTTAGAATACGCAGATGACATAGTCCTGTTTGGTGAAGACGCTGACAAAATGCAGAGTCTTCTGGTAGCACTGAGCAACAATGCCAGGATGTTTGGAATGCGCTTCTCTCCCTCTAAATGCAAGTTGTTGCTTCAGGACTGGTCTGCGTTAACACCTGAACTAAGGATAGGGAGTGAAGTAGTCGAACGCGTTGACAACTTCACTTATCTTGGAAGTCTGATCAGTCCTAGTGGGTTGGTATCGGACGAAATCTCAGCACGGATTCGAAAAGCTCGTTTGGCTTTTGCCAACTTACGTCACCTGTGGCGAAGGCGAGATATCCGTCTATCAATAAAAGGACGAGTATACTACGCGGCAGTCCGTTCTGTTTTAATTTACGGCAGCAAAACATGGCCATTAAGAGTAGAAGACACTCGTAAGCTATTAGTACTTGACCACAGATGCCTTAGAAATATTGCTGGCGTCTGCTGGGATAACCGGGTAAGTAATAGTGAGGTTAGACGCAGGGTATTAGGAAATGATGGTAAATCAGTTGATGAGGTTGTGAATCTTCATCGACTGAGATGGTTGGGCCACGTGTTACGTATGCCTGAACACCGATTACCACGACGTACAATGCTATCCGGTATTGGAAATGGTTGGAAGAAAGTTAGGGGCGGCCAAACCAAAACGTGGCATCAGTGCTTGAAGTCACTAACTTCTAGTCTGAGCCATGTTGGTAGATGCAGACTACTTGGTTGAGGTTCGTGTGACTATCGTAACCAATGGTTGGAGACTCTTGGTGACATGGCTCAGAATCGATCACAATGGCGTCGGTGTATACACTCCCTGTCTTCCCTTAAACTAAGAGATTAAAATCGCTTCATATCTTTCTTTCTTCTTGTACTATATCTCTATATGCAATCTTCTCTTATATATTACCACCTTTTACCTAACCACTGTTATGGATCCGGTGTTCATCTTGTTGTGCTGATGCGGTATGGCAACCTGGACCGATGCACACATGTGCCTGGTCCTACGTTGTAGCTGACTGACTGACTGACTGAGATGAAAGATAATAAAACATGTTTAATATTCAAAGCCTCAATGAGATCACTTATTAATCATTATATACTGTAATGTTGGTAAAATAAAGAAATGAAAGCATCCTCAGTTCATATGTTATCATTATTTCCTTGAATATGTGTCCACACTTCGCATAATTACACCATAAGTTATTAAAATTGAGACTGAATCCTTCATTAGGTAGTACTTGACTTTTAGTCCTTAGATTCCAATCTCAACCCCATTGTATCTAAAAGATGTAGCTCAAACGGTGATCGCAAAAATCTATACTTGACTGTTGAGTTCCATATCAGTTTTTAGCATTACAGAAAAATATGTTTATTTTAGATTGCTTAGACAGCTATATATGGCATTTACAAGGTCAACGAAGAGTAAATAGATAATCATATATATATAAGCTTTAACTTCATGTATTTTTCGCCTACAACTGCTTTGGATGAAGATTAAGTATAGATTATATTTACTGGTGAATAATGACAGAAAAATTATTTAAACTTGAATGAATACTGTCAATGAAATGTTAGTATGAACAATAAAAGTAAAAACATATTGAAATTGTAACACAATATACCATACTTTTAATCATTTTTTGTAACAATCTCGATAGTGAAACATTTATCTTAGTTACACTACATACGCTTGAATATTAAATCTAATGATATGGCTAAAAAATAGTTCTCTAAATCTAGAACACGATGATCATTCTACTTCTTTTTTCCCTCACTATTTCGATCCATATATTTTGTCTTTATGGCTTGTTTAGTGTCTTGTTACTATTAGGATAACTAAATCTAATATTTTATTTTTGTTTGTCTTGTCGATCTATCATTGTTGTGCCTATGTGAATTGAACTATGTGAATTGAGCTAATAAATATTTGTGTCAGATAATGTACAAAATGAAATAAGGAAAGAGAACTCTAAATTTTCATTTCTATGGTCTATTGGAATAGAGTATCCAACCAACAATCATACGATTAAAGGTTCGCATCTATTCTATCTACTTCGGTTTAGGTGCACTGATTTGATACAAGAGATTTAAACTGTGGTTTTGTACTTTGAACTTTATGTCCCTTATGACTTATTATTTTATTTAAATATAATATGTACGTGGTATGAAAGTGGCAATAATTAAAGGGTATAAACAAACACTAACTTTAAAATATGTATAACATCCTTTTCAACAAGCGTTTTCATGGCAATGATTGAATCTAATGGAATGCATAATCCTAAATTTAGCAGTTCTTGAGGAATATGGCAACAAGAAAACTCAACATTATTATCATGGCAAGTGGATGATTTATTGTCAGAGTCATGATGTGATTCAATCATTTTGTTATGAGTAGCATCAATGTTATGATCACATGAAGATAATTCAGAATGTGAAGCTATGTAAGCCTGTTTTTGAGCTACTGCAGTTTGACTTGCGTCGAAACACAAAGATTCAGGTGTGACCAGCAAAACGCCATCTATCAAATTCTAGAGAGAAAAGAAATTAAAAAACCACAGATACAATCCAAAAACTTCGATATTGGGTAGTTTAAATAAAAGAACGATTTTTGTTTAGTCGATATTCTGCTATTATACACTAATTATTAATATAAAATCAAAAACTAGATGATAAATTTTCGATGTTTATTTCTGATGAAAGTTTGAAAGTTAAAAGTTAAATATGACCACTAAGGTGGATGAATGGACAATAGTCATACAACCGGTTTAGAAAAATGATCTGCTGAAGAGTTCCCACCATGAATCAAGCAGCTTAATCTTAGAACCTTGAGTTATAACATTGAACGATAAAACTTGGAATTTCAAAAGGATAATGAGCATCCATAAGACTGCAAGCTTTCATAATGAATGAAAATAGATATTAAACCCTAGTTATTTAATGCCCATTAATCGAGTCCATTTATCTGGAGTCATGAATTACCATCACGTATAAAATAGCGTAGTAAACCTGATGGATTGTAAAAAAGATGAGATCGACATTGAATCACAATGAAGATCCATTTAATATTCCAGATGTTAGGGCATTGATTTAACACTCCGCCGTATCCCATTTCTTCATAACTTACAACTAGCACTTCTTTTTATAAACAACAGACATGATTTCTAGATTACCATTGATGAAAATTCCTAGGACTATGAATTCTTAAGAGCACATTAACAGTAATGAGGTATTCAGCCATATAACAAAAAAGTAAACGTTTGGATACTAGTAAAACTTACATCAAGACTTTCTAGAACACGAAAGGCATTCACTTTAACAAATTGGCGTTCCAGGGCATCATCATCAATGGGATAGGATTTATTAGGATTCAAAACACGTGTTGTATAAAAGAAGGGTTGAACAGCTAGAAATCCAGTACTTGTAGTATCGACATTTTGCTTATCCATATCTTCTATGCGCAACGCGACACCAGGAAGATGCTTTATTTTAGTTGACTGTAATCACAAAATAAAGGATGAGGTGTATGAAAATAATCTTCTTATGCTGAGCCCTGAGTGAAATCTGTTTTCAAATGTTATCTAACTGCAATGCACGTATAGTTATGAAACCATCATTTTTAGTTCAGATGAAAGGCATGTAAATCTCTTTTATTAAATAAGGAATCTATATTAAAACTTAAAATATTCAGACGAATATGAATGTATGCTTAACTGCATTTTAACTAGTTATCGAAAACATTGAATGGAAAGTGTTTGTTTGTGGTTGGGTAAACTATGTATGAAAATATAATGTAACAAATCAAAAAGCCATAATCCTGATCAGCATTTGAAAAGTGCAGAGCAGACAAAACAATCAGGACAATAGTATGCAATCCTGCTAAATGCACCTGCATAAAAATGAGGTGGAAAAGGCTTGATCGCTAATGCTGGTGATAAAACTACACCAAAAATAACAGGGTTTGATTCGCGGTGCTTCTAAAGAGAAAGTTGCTATTCAATTAAATGATCGGAATTTATTAATGAGATGTATGAATTATTTTACGTATGTGCCGAATATTCACCCAGGAAGATCATTTCAGATAAGAAAGCTAGTTAAAAGAAATTTAAGAGATCAAAATATAAATGCAACGACCTGACTCTATGAACAACTTTATCGACTAGGTGATTCAGTAAGGTGTAAGATCCGATGAAAATGTCAACTGGTTTAAGTTGTTGGGACCGAAGATCCTGGGTCCGAACCCCGTGTAGGGGTTGTGGGTGAGCACTGCTGAGGAGTCCCATACTAGGACGAGACGGCCGTCCAGTGCTTGCAGGTCTTCCATGGTGGTCTAGCTTTAATCGGCTCATGAATTCGTCTATTAAATTACTACAATCTCCAAAAAACCCTATTCTGTTTGGTTGTTACACTTCATAATAGTACATAACGAGAAATTTAAAAGGGTAAATAAAAGGAAGTGATGAACCAACTGTAAAGAATATAATCACTTTAAATTGGTTGAACTTCAACGTTTTTGTGAATTTATACATATTCATCCAAACATGTTACAATTTCAGATGTTCCAATAAATTCTTTTAACTCCGCCTGTAGCTCTTCGAGGGTTACTATCGGTCCCAAGCACGAGTGAGGGACGAAGGTTGGGCATAAAGTCAGAAAACCCATCCCGTAGAAAACAACCCTGCTAAAAAACGCTAACCAGAATAAACCATTTAAACTCTGCTTTTCAGGTCAAACGATCTTCATTCAGAACAATTATCAAGCCTCATGATGAAAGCCCAGATTCTTCGGAAGTCACAAGGCCGATTACCCTTCTAACAACTACACCAACAATTAACACAAGTACATGGAATGTTCAGGAAATGTGGGAGATCGGGAGGATCAATTAAATAGTTGTAGAAATCAGGAGACATAACTTGACGGTGTTCAGACTAAGTGAAACCCATTGGACCCAAGCTGGAGAGAAAAGGTTAGATTCGGAAGACACGCTGATGTACTCTGGTCACTAAGAAAATGCTCCATACACTCAGAGAGTTGCTCTGATACTGTTCAAAGAAGCATGTAATGCACTGGTAAGGTAAGAATCTCATGGACTCAGGATCATCAAAGCATCTTTGACAAAAAGGAGGGAATTATAATGAATGTTATCCAGCATTACGCACCCACGAGTAATAGCAACAGTTTTATGAGAGACTGTAATCGATCATAGCGAAGTGCTCAGGAAACGACCTGACCATCCTAATGAGAGACCTAAACGCCGAAGTCGGGATGGACAACACCAGATATTAAGATATCATGGGAAATATGGAGTGACTGAGAGAAAAGAGCTAGAACGGTGACAGATTTGCGAATTTATGTTCATTTAACAAAGTGGTTATAGGTGGCACAATATTCCCCCACAAACGCATACACAAAGCTACATGGGTCTCATCGGATCACACTACACAGAACCAGGTTGATCATATTCGCATCACTAAAAAATTCTAAAGGTCGATGGAAGACGTGAGAACCAGGAGAGGAGATGACATAGCTTTAGATCACCACCCGGTTGTGGCCAAAATCAAACTGAAGCTAAAGAAGCAATGAACAACTGGACAAACAGTAGCACTAAGGTTTAGTACAGCTTTCTTTCGAGATACTGACAAACTCAACGAATTCAAGAAAGCTCGCAGCAAAAGGTTCTAAGACTTACGGGATCTACTGAAAGAAGAAAGTAAGATGGAGGGTATCTGGAGTGGGATCAAAGAAGCACCTACTTCAATGTGTCAGGAGGTTCTGGATCGGAAGAAGCATCATCATAAAGAATGGATCTCTGTCGAAACCCTAGACAAGATTCAAGAAAGGAAGAAAAAGATAGCGATTAACAACAACCGAACACGAGCAGAGAAAGTCAAGGTACAAACCGAATACATGGAAGCAAACAAGCAAGTGAAGAGTATTAGAGCTGACGAGCAGAAATACGTGGACGGTCTAGCAGCGACAAAGGTGAAAGCTGCAACAGGAAATATCAAACAACTATGTGACACAACGAAGAAACTGGTAGGGAAGTATAGTAAACCAGAGGAAGCAGTCAAGAACAAAAGAGGCAAAACAATCACTGAGATTCGAGAACAGAGGAACAGATGGGAAGAACACTTTGAGGAACTCTCGAATAGGTCAGCTCCATTGAATCCACCGGACATCCAAGCAGCACCTACATACCTTCCTATAGATGTCACCGCACCAACAATCGAAGAAATCAGGATGGCCGATCATCAGACGAATCAGGAGTGGGAAAGCAGTAGGACCTTATAATATACCAGCTGAAGCTCTGTCAGACATAGAACTGCAAGTATACTTCACGTTTTATTCAGGAAGATTCCGAGGAAGCAAATGTGCAGATGGACTAGAAAGAATGATTCCTCATCAAGACACCAGAGAAAGGAGACCTGAGTAAATGTGAAAACTACAGAGGCATCACACAACTTTCAGTACCAGGGAAAGTTTTCAGCAGTGTTGCTGAACCGGATGAAAGACGCAGTAGACACCCAACTTCGAGATCAACAGGCTGGATTCTGTAAGGATCGGTTGTGCAGACCAAGTTGCGACACTACAGATCATCGTCAAACAGTCAGTTGAGTGGTACTTGTCACTATACATCAACTTCATTGACTATGAGAAGGCGTTTGATAGTGTGTATAAGAGGACCCAATGGAAACTTCTTCGACACTCTGGTGTACCTGAGATCGTCAATTTCATACGGAATTCATACGAAGGACTACATTGCAAAGTTGTGTATGGAGGACAACTGACAGACGCATTCCAAGTGAGGACCGGAGGCAGACAAGGTTGCCTAATCCCACCCTTCCTCTCTTTTCTAGTCGTTGCCTTGATTATGAAGAGCTAGACATTTGAGGGGAAGCACGGAATATAATAGACAGATTAGATCTAACTAAACGATTTGAACTTCGCGGATTATCTGGTCCTTCCACCCCATACATAGCAACAAATGCAGATGAAGACAACTAGTGTAGCAGTAGCCTCTGCACCAGTAGGCCTCAACATACACAAGGGGAAAACCAAGATCCTCAAATAGAACAGGAACAGTGCCAACCCGATCACACCTGATGGAGAAGCTCTGGGTGATGTGGAATCTTCCACGTTCCTGAATGGTCAGCATTATCGATGAACGAGGAGGATCCGATGCAGACGTAAAGGAAAGGATTGACAAAGTAAGGGCAGCGTTCCTACAGTTGAACAACATATAGAACTTAAAACTACTGTCCGAAAGTTGACATCAAAATTGGAATCTTTAATACGAACGTCAAAACTTTTGCTGTACGGAGCTGAAGCCTGGAGAACTACCACAATCGTCATCAAAAAGTATAAGTGTTTATCCACAGTTGTCTACACATGATACTTAATGTCCGTTAGCCGGATAAGATCAGCAACAGCCTACTGTAGGAGAGGACAAACCAGCTTCCAGGTTAAGAGGGAATAAGGAAAAGACATGCAAATGAGTCTCATCGAACTAACTTATAGTTCTATTGATTTATATATGGATGCCCAGTTGATCATAAACTTTTTATTTACTCAACTAAAAAAATATTGATAAAATCCGTTAAAACAGACACGGTTTATTGATTTGTGGTTTGATTAAAGCATTTCCCAATAAACTTAAATCTAGAGTGCTCGTGAGAGTATGGATGTTCATATGGCATTTTAAAAAATACTATTAATTTTCCTTATTCGCCAATTAGTACTATATTTTAATGACCATTTATAAGCAAAGTCAACCATTACACTCCAAAAAATATATTATAATAAACTTACACTGCAATTCGCACGTGCAGCTGTTGGAATAATTAAACGTTGACCAGGAAAAACGGGAGGGAGTCCATAACTCATGAGGGGTAAATGATTGGCTCTAGCAATCTGAGTGGGGGTTACAAAACCCAACTGGGCAGCGATAGCCGACAGTGAATCTCCAGGTTTTACCTGAATGACATATTTAATATGCTGCTCTGATTACCTCGTAAACGCAGAACTCTCCTGAGGCCTCCATACTGACGTGACAATAAAGCTAAGTGGGTTGAGCACTTTGTTTAACCACAACTATGAGCATTTGATTCTCTTCACATAACTGAACAACAGAAGATAAAAGTGTTATTTCCCTAAGCTCAACGAAGAAAACATAGAACCCTTGGTGATTGACTTGATGACGATAAGCTAATAATGCTAGTAAATTTTGTAGTAAAATGAAAACAATTAAAAACGACATACATGTATATAAATACAACCTTGATTTTAAGAATCACATTTCAAAAACTGAATTGACCAATTGTTAAGTGGTTACACTACAGTTTGGATGCTGAAGTCACAAACACTTTACCCCTTATTTGGAAGGTGAAAGCATCCTTCGGATGACTGAAATAAATGGTTCCTGATAAACTTATTAATTTTAAAAGTGGCAGTGTTAAAATATAATAAGCTGAACGATAATAATCATTCTTACTGGTTTTGAAGTTTAAGTTTCATTCTAAAACATGGAAAAGTGACAAATTGAACATTTACAATTGATAATAAGATATTACGACAAAAAGATGCAATGTAAGGAACAACTGCGCTGATAAGAAAGAGCGAACCAACCACGATATGACACGTCCTTGAAAAGTTTTGTAAACACATACTTCCCTAGTACAACAGATTTCTTACTAGTACCCCATCTTAGACAGGACTGGGTCACAGGGCTTTGAAACATCATAGGAAGAGAGCCTTGTTGATTTATCTATGTTATGTGGTATTAGAAGATTAGTTGTGCTCAACAACACTTGAGGACTGAAACACAATTGGTTTAACTGTTTGTTTTTTCTCAAAAAGGCGTAGTGCATGTTCAATCGACGACAGTTCAGTCCTCCATCAGTTTTAGAGATTTACCCGGGACAAGACAGTTGTCAAAAACAGAACAATCAGAAAATTGATTCTTTAGGATGCAATTTTAAATGTGTATCTTCCAAGCCCCCGATTTTGGGGAAATTTTGGCACATCCTGGGAAAGCCGTTATAGTAAACTTTGAGGAAATGGCACGAAAACCCCAAAATTTCGCCAAACTTTGGGGAAGGCTATTTCACTTTGATGATTTCCCCAAAATTCTCCCGAAGTTGGGAGCTTGGGCGAAAGATTTTCTACGACTGGAGTAGTGAGCACATTAGATCTGCAAGAAATAACACCTGGTTTGAGTAAAATTAAAAATAACGCAGTGTGCAGTAGCATGAAACAGTTTTACGTGTGAAATCTAGTAACACTTAATTACGATATTTCACATATACAAGAAAAATAAGTATCAATACGATTGATATGTGTTGGTCTGGAAAGATGTTAAAACTTTTAAAAACTAATCACTTGGTAGTAATTTTTGGCATGAATGGAACCCAAGACATTTACCAAGACCACACAACTACGAGGAATAACGCAACAAACCCTACATCCCACGTCAGTGTCACCTTGAACTCCAATATCCAATATCCTTCAAATGGACGGAATAGAAGAAGCTTTCGCTTAACAGGCTTCCGTGTCTAGTAGCAGAGGATCACCAAATTCTCCAGGCAGGGACCTAGGTATGTTAACAATAAAAGAGGAAAAGAAATTGGTAAATCATAGTGTGATACTGTCCTTGGTCCTTAAGAATAGGTCAAGTTGCCTCTTGAAGGACTCCTGCGAAGTCGCTTGGACTAGCTCGGCCGGCAGCGAATTCCAGCTTTTGACAACTCTTAAGGAGTAGATGTTGTGTCTACATCCCGCCTTGCTATGTTGAGTTTCCAGTTTCTGGGTGTTACCCCTTAGGTTATTATTCGAACTATGCTTGAGTAGGTGTTTAAGAGGATGTCCAGAAGTGTTAAGAATACTATAAGCCATTAATAACTCACCTCTAAGACGCCTATACTCTAATGGGTAAAGGTCTAGTGAATGGAGGCGTTCGTCGTAAGGCTTAGATTTGAGTCCTCGAACTGATTTCGTGGCTCGCCGTTGGATACGCTCCAAAGTGACCTTGTCCTTTTGGAGTGAGGGGGGAGTACTATATTTCCGTACTCTAAATGGGGACGGATAAAACTATGGAAGATTGTATGGAAAGTTCTTCCGTCAAACTGGCCAAAATTGCGCTTCAATGTTACCAGTGCAAGGTTTGCTCGGAAGGCATTTTTGTCACAGTTATCGTAAGACTTTAAATCGTAGGGCACCAGGACTCCTAAATCTTTTTCGACTTGGGATACTACTAGAGAGGAGGTACCTAAGTTGTAACTGTAGTTTGCGACATGTCGCAGATGAACTACTTTACACTTTGAAGTGTTAAAGGTAAGTCCGTTATCGTCTGCCCAACTTTGAAGTCAAGTCAGATCCTCCTGAAGTGCCTGTGTATCGTCTTGGTTGCGTATCTCTCTCCAAAGTTTCACGTCGTCGGCAAAAAGTAATAAGTCTGACGTTACCTGTTGAGGAAGATCGTTTATGTAGATCAAGAAGAGAAGAGGCCCTAATACTGAGCCCTGGGGGACCCCACTAGGACATTCCATAGCCTGAGATAAAGTGAAATTAACCCTAACCTTGAAGTGTCGTTTTTCTAGGTATGAAGTAAGCCAATCGATTAGAGGTGGTTTGATACCTAGTCGTTTGAGCTTATTGATAAGACACAAGTGGTTAACTTTATCAAAAACTTTTGAGAAATCAAGGTATATGATATCAACCTTTCTCCTACGATCGAGGATGCTTGTCCATCTGTCCACCGCAGTCAGCAGGTTAGTTGTACAAGAGTAACCCTTCCTGAAACCATGCTGTTGGGGTGAGTAGAAATTTAAGGACAGTAGATAGTCGTTTAAACCATCGCATATCAGGGACTCCATGAGTTTTGAGGGTAATGATAGAAGAGCCACCGGCCGATAACTTGAAGGTTCATTGCGTCGACCCCCTTTGAAAATTGGTGTGATGTGAGCCAACTTCCAATTTTCCGGTAGTTTGCCTCGGCTTAGCGAGTGTGAAAACATCACGCTAAGCGGCGTTGCCAGGATTGAGGCTGCCTCCCTCAGTATGGCAGAATGAACCATATCCGGGCCAGGAGAAGTATCTAGTCTTAAGTGCTGCAGTTTCCGGAACACCAAGTCAGCGCTTAAGTCCACTTCGGAAAGCCCTGTGGAATTGCAGATGAAACTGTCGTCAATAGAGTTGATGTCAGCCGGCTGAAATGTAGGTGGCTTACAGCTTTTGGGAACCGTTTGAGGAACTGAATGGTTTGTAGCACATAAGAGCGTGTGCAGTAAGAAGTCCCAATGACCGTCCACATCGAGTTGAGGGTGAACATCCCAAACCACCTGTTGTAGATAGTCGTGTAGAGCTGGCACATTTAGCCGTTTAAAATTCCAACGCAAATTATTGTTGGGATACCTTAGCTTAGTTTTGATGACAAAACTGAAGGCTATGACGGCATGATCACTCTTTCCCAGAGGAGCCAGGATTGAGAGGTTGTCAACTAGAAATTCTTCGTTTGTGAATACACAGTCTAACCGCGATGGTGTCTGACTGTTTCTCCAACGAGTTGCCGACCTCACATTTTCATATAAGCCCAAGTCATCGATGAGGTTGAAGAACCAAGCTTCAATTGAGTTGTCGCCTCCAGTATACGTGTGTTCCGCGAAGTTGACTCTGGGGAGATTAAAGTCCCCTAGAATCAGGATGTGTGTGAAACCAAGACGAGTAGAGCGGGATAGTCCTTCCAGCATACAACTATCGTACTCGATGTCAGCAGTTGGCTTCCTGTAAATGACACCGACTAGACACCTCGAAGTGCTAGACAATCTTACAGAGCACCATATGGATTCCTCAAGATTGTTAAACTCGAGGTTGTGAACTTGGTGCACCTCCAAGCAAGAGCTTATGTATATGGCTACTCCGCACTTAATTCCTGTTGTTCTGTTGTTGCGGAACAAAGTCATCCCTGGTAATGCTAACTCTTGGTCCGAGAACTGAGAAGATATCCAGGTTTCAAATATTCCTATCGGGTGGGGTTTATTAGCGTTGCTAAGTTCACGTAATTCATCCAGTTTGTTTGGTAGACTCGATGCGTTCATATATAAGCAGTTTATGCTTTCAATTTGGAACGCGTGAGCTTCGTCCTGTTTTTCTGTATGAGCCTTATGTGAATGGACAGGTAGCCCACCTATGTGAGGTTTACCGAGGTGGTAGGCCCTATCCTTTACACGTTTTTTTATCGTTTAGACAATCCACAAGTGGAATGGTCAGCTCCAACTTGCCTTTGTGCTTGGTCCTGGCTTCATATGGCCTATCCGGGTGCATGCGGATTCCAGGTGGCAACCCTTAAAAGAACTTGTATTCAAATAGTTCATATGGTTCTGAACGGAACAGAAGAAACTTCCACATAACATGCTCTAAAACCTTAGGGCAGTGGCAGGCATGAACTTTGACATATATAAATACAAAAAGAGAAATATTAGTGAATTATTGTGAGATACTGTCCTGAGTCCCTAAGAACATATCTAGTTTTCTCTCAAATGACTTCTTGGCAGCTAATTCATGAGTCTGACTACTCATAATGAGCAGAAGATATGCCTACACTTAATTTCGCAATGTTGTGTCATTAGATTCTGAGTGTTACCTCCAAGGTTTGTGTTAGTACTGAGTCTAAGTTGGTATTTAAGAGATACCCAGGATTGTTTGGGATGATGAAAGTAATAAGAAGACCACCTTTGAAACTCTTATCCTCTAACGAATGAAGAAACAGTGGTGTGAAGCGCTTCCCATAAGGTTTGAATTTGAGTCCACGAAATGATATGTATAGCGGTAAATTAATCCCCAAAATAAGTAGTTTTGTATGTCTTCAACATTAATGCTGACTTCATTAGTTTCACAGAACACACTCTGGCTGAGGACACTCGGCCACACATCCGCACCAGATCACCAGTGGGTACGACGTGCTACTCATCCCTTGCAACAGCTATTCAGCCTTAACCAGAAGCTTCTCGATTTATTGATAGCTTACAAAATATATCTTCGAACTCC